AAAAAAAAAAAACAACAGCAAAGAACAAAAGAAGAACATACCATGATAAGGGCTTCCATTCTCCATGGCAAGACTAACACAAGATCCCATCTTGTTGGTTTGTTATGAAAGCTGTAGAGAAGAAAGTGAAGAGCTCATAAACCCAATAACTAAGGAGGAGAAATATATATAAGTCTGAGGGTGAGGCTCTGCAAAAGGGTAGAAACAAAACAGTGGGGAAAACGGGGTTGACTTGCTGAGTCGGCCGCCAGATCATACGTTATATTCCGGTGGGAAAGAAGGAGAAATAAGTTTAATGTGCAAAAAATCTGAGGCGTGTGTTCAAAATCCTACGCATACAAACCGCAATCCAAATGGCAATTACTCGGCACAATCATACGTCACCATGTAAGTTCGCAAAATCGCCACGTGGGTCGGTGACAAAAATTCCCTCCACCTAAGCTTCAATAATATAAAGTGGGCATTAAATTTATTAAAGCAATAGCTACTTTTGTATTTAAAAAATTAAATTTTATTTAGGTGGGTTCCATGAAAGTATGAGGAAGAAGAGCAGTATGAATAAGGTAATTTCGCTGTTTTTTTTATTTTTTATTTTTTTTTATTTTTGTAGCTTTCGGTGTAATCTAATACATAGGATATGCTTCATGATTTCATAATCGAATAAATTTTGTATGGGTGATATTACACCTAATTATCCGTGGACTTATAATATTATCCATTTTATTTTCATTATTTTCTCTCAATTTTTTTTATTTTTTTATTTTATTTTTGTGTGAAAGTGGAACTTATGATGGATGTCTAACTAAAGTGTAAATCCCATTTGGGATAATGCTTTCCCTTTTCTGATTTGCCAATCCCCATCCTTCCAACTTAGATTTTATCATTTTTTTTAATTCCCACAAAAAATTTTAAATTAATTTAGCCATACCAAAACTTTTTGAAAATTCCAAGAAAAAAACACTTTTTAAAGCCTAGATTTTAACCAAAAATACTCGAAATTCTAATTTTTATTCTAATTAAATATATTTTATTTAGTTAGGCACTTTTTGGATATTATTTCTCTATAATGATTCTAAAAATATATCATTGAAGTTGAAGTTGAATTATTTATGGCATGAAATATGTTATAATTATTATAATTATTAGGGGGAGAAAAGATGTGTCGGAAAGAGAGGAAGAAATTTTTGTCGAAGAAAATTAGTTTGAAAAAGTGCAGATATCTATACATTAATTTGGAAATTAATTAAAAATATCAACTCTTTTTTTAAGGAAAAAAAAAAACACTAATAAATAAAACTTCTTTCTTTTCCATTAGGGTTTAGGGTTTAGGGTTCTGTGATAGTTAATCAACTACTAGTTCGAAATGGTCATTAGACGAACAGCCCGTTCTAACTATCATAAGTCTCTCTGATTATTTGATTTTTTTTTGTTGTCGTCTTCTAACATTACCGACTTTTAAATATCGAATTTTTTGAAACCACTAAAGTTGTTAGAATAATGTTTTTATTTCTCTAACTACAATACAATTCATAAGCGACCGCCAGACCGTCATATCATCTTTTCTATATCAAAGGTCTTAAAGAACAATGATTTTATTACTCGTTTGCTTTTCGCTTCAAATTTTTGAGAAATGAGTGAGTTTACAACAATATTATCCTAAAAATTCATATGGTTGGATCCAATAGGGTCATCAAACATATTTGCATTGAATTCATGACTATAATTTTTTTTTATTTAATGTGATTAGGTCATAAACCACCATAGCCTAAGTTCCACTCTTAATTAACGTAGTTAGGCACATCAAGATTGACTTTAGTTTTATTTTCATAAATACATTTTGTTTTAAGCATTTCTTATAAAATCAAAAAACAGTATCTTTAGTTAACCCGTAGTCGTTGAAGTGATTATCAGAATAGAGATGCCATTAACGATGATTATGATTTTTTTTTTTTATTTATAAAATAATTAGAAAGATAGAGTTATTTGATATCTTTTCTTATTATTAATAATATCTCAGTTTTGAATGTTAAAAAAGGGTAAGTATGTGATAATCATCATTAATTTACACAAACTCTGTTACTTTTCATGTTTTTCAAACACATATTCATGAAGTCATACGAAAATTAAGTAAATTATGTGCAGATCGGATTTGGTAAAATCTTTTATTATTATAGATTAGGTTAGATAATCTTGGAACTTTTGAACAATCTTAATTCCACCTATAGCCAACTTTTCTAAATTTTATGGATAATATATTATTCAAAACCATAATTAAAAAAATATATATAATGTATTATGTCTAACATTTAGAATTTGGATTCGGCCCCTCCCACAGTATACAAAATAAAATTGAAAACACGCTTAATTTTGGAGTTTTTATGATTGAGACACGAAAGTGCATATTGTTGTTATGGATAGTATTTTTCAAAATTCTAAGTATTCTTAAGATTACTCTCATTCATGTATGTGGTCTCGATTCATTTATGTACCCCTTATTTTACTTGAACGTCACAAACCCACTGGCTTTCACCTTGGTTTTTTTTTTTTTTTTTTATATTAAACTTATCGTTTCATCTCTGGTCAGAGTTACACTAATTAATAATTAAATATTATATCCCCAAGTGAATCTGAATCCAGGCTCAGTTGGGCCCTTTGGAAACGCTGTGTATCTAAAAAGCCCAAGCCCACTCCATAATATTTGGAAACAAGGAGAGGAATATTTGTTTACGTCACCTGTGGGTGTGTTAATTTTAGTGAAAGCACAATCCTATAGGCTAACAGGCTACATTCAAACCCTTTCTAATTATTAGGTGGACAGGAGTTTACATCACGAACACAAAAAGAAGACACACTTTCCCATATTCTTGGGACGACAAACTGCTTTTTCCCATAACTCCATAATTCTAACTGCCAGCCTATCAAAATTCCACGTCAGCAATACTTTTGCTTTCCAAAATTATTTTTAGTTTAAAAATATTTTCATCCACAACCCACCAAATATTATAAAAAATGTTTTTTTTTTCTTTTTTAATCCATAAATTAGAAAGGCACATGGGGTACAAGCTTATTAGTTTTAGAAGGTCAGAAAAGGGAATTATTTTCTCCCTATTTACAAAATGAATTAAAATTAAAATGCTGACAACTAGACATAAATAAAATATCATGCAAATTCTTATTTCTTACATTTTTTTTTTCTTCTTGTGGGGTCAGATTCCTTATGTACCCATATATATATTAAGTTGGTGTGCAATAATTAGATTCCCGCATACAAAAAAAGGGGTTTAAATTAGTTTTTTTAAATAATATGACATAAAAACATTATTAATTACCTTTAAAAATTAGTATTAATGGGTAAAAATAAAATAAAATGAAATGGACTTAAGTGAAAAAGAAAACCCTGAAAAATATGGAAATGGCAGAGCCACAAATTAATATCGTTGTTTGGTCCTTTTATTGAAAAAGAAATGAACGGTGGTCCCAAATTTGAGGGGATAAAACACCACGTGTCACCGCTCCTGAATTGATTGATGACCTGTAGGCTTCAGCGGCTGCGCTCCTCCCTCGCCTTTCTCAATATTAAATTCATAAAAAGTTTATACGAATCATGTGCTTTGCGTGTTTATGTTATTTATTTTCTCAACTCTACTTTTTCTTAATTAGAAAATAAATTAATTAGAGGGGTAATAAATTAATTAGATTTATATCTAAGACCATTTAAAATTAATTAGAAAATAAAATTTTAAAATTTTATAAATTTTAGCTATGATTTAAATAAATTTTTATTAAAGGGTAATAATTCATATCTAGAATTTGGATTAAGTTGATGAAAACTATCCCCATAAAATAATAGGATTCATTTCGACATACTTTGTCTTCGCTCGTATGCATCTCATAAAAATTCCCACAAGATTACCTAATCAAGAATTGCTTCAAGCTATTCACGCTTGACTAATAACATAATTTTTACGATCAAGCCATTGGAAATAAAGATATACTTTATTAATATAGATAACGGGTCATACAAATCAAGCAATTTAATTAAATATGGTAAGAAAAAAAGGAAGGATTTTATGTAATTTGAATGTGACTTGGTCTCCTAGTGTTGATCCGTGCTGAATGACCATGTTGCCCTTAACCTTTGGTACAGATTAGGTGCCCAGGCTTTATTAAATGGAATATCCCATATTTTCTGCTTCTATTATATTATTATTTAATGCAGAAAAAAAAAATGTTTTTGTATTAATTGACTTCATAATTACTCAATAACACACCGTGGGAATTTCTTAATTCAAAATTGAAAAATTCAAACTACGGAAAAGCTTATTGGTCTTCATACATTTTAGTCAAATTTAATAGGGTATTAATTTTTAACTAAATAATTTATTTTAAATATTCACTTTTCAACCGAACATATATATAATTTAAATTAATTATGTGATTAAAATTTATTCTTTATATTTAATATTTTTATATAAAATAAAAAATACCTCAAATTTGAAAAATTATTCAGATATTCAAATAACTCAAAATTAGGATTTGGTGTAATTTTTTAAGACATGTTTGACATTAATTTTAGTCTTTTTTTGTCTATAAATTAACATTTTTTTTAACCAAAAAATGACAAAAACAAAAAAAAAAAATATCTAACTAGCCTAATTTTTTAATGTTCCTATTTTGTTTAACTGAAATTCAAGAATTAAAAAAAAAAAGAAAAAAAAAAGGAAGATTTAAACGTAAACTACCACAGACCACTGATTTTTATATCCGTAAGAATACAAAATCTAATTCAGTTTCACACTCCATTTAAAGAAGAAAAGAAAAGAAAAAAAAAACTGAAATTAATGAGTAGAATTTGCTTAATTTACTACATTAAGCAAATTAAGTAGGAAATTAATTCTCTTCTTATCCACTTTGCGATATTTCCGCGTAATCGAAGAGATTTACTTGGGCTTCAAGAATATCGTAGAATATTTTCGTGTTTTCCCTAGTTGTCCGCGCCTTTATATGCACCTTCTCCCCCTTTCTTTGTTCCTTCCGTCCATTATTCTCTTCATCCTTCTGGGTTTTGCACAGAAATTAATAAGAGGGGTTCATCTTTTTTCCTTTCCCCCTCTCTCGTTTTTCACCCATTACGACCCTATTTCAATTTATTTCTCCTTAATTCCAATACCCACAATTGAATTCTGCAAATTTTGAAAACGCCCAAATTTGCGTCGGTCCCTCGTCGAAGACGATGATTTTCGCTGATGGGGTTGGGAATTTGTTGTAATCGGACGGCTGCGGGAGGAAGGTGGAGAGGTATAGAGGCGAAACAGAAGGTCTTTTGGGCGTTTAAATGGACTGCCGGGTATGCGTTGCGGGTGGGGATTTATGGGTCAAGCTAAGCGGAATCGGGGGTATGGGTCAGATGGGTGGTTTTAGCCATGAAAGCGAGCATGATTTGGCTCTTATGGTCAGCGATTTCCTTGAAAATGGGAGCGGTGGGGCTGAGTCTCGGTGTAGCAGCGATAGCGATTCTGGTGTCTCTGATCTTGCTCATCTTGCCGACAAGATTCTGGTAATTTCTCTCTTCCAATTTGTTTATGGATGTAATTGTATGATTTATCTTTCCAGAAGTGTAATCCTACGTTTCTGACTTGTTGATTGATATGCCTGTTTTATTAATTTAATCTCCATGGATGCTAATTTTGAATGGTTGCGCTTTGTTTGCTTAGAAGGAAATGAGAATTACTTGATATGAAACATGAACAATTGTGAAGGCAAACCTTGAAGTTTCAAGTGAAATTAAAACCATTTTGGAGGTGTCTAGTTGGGTGTTGGCTCTGTTGTTAAATTCATTGGAAGCTCGTTTTGGCTGGAGTTTGATCTTTTTGCCCGCTGTCTGTTATTGCCAAGAGATGATTTATTTGTTCATGTCTATGAAGAACATGTTTTTTGAGACAAGATTGCTATTGTACGATGTCTAATGTTCATATAGCACTGTCCTGCATTGTTGTTATGGTCAAATCAAGCGGAAGATAAGATATTAATCAATTTGTTGTCTGTTTTTGCCAGTTCTATAAAAATCCAGTATCCCAATACGAAAGCGATTTACTTTCAGTGGTTCATTCACTGACCTTGTCGATGAACGAGAAGGCCCTGAACGTTAACAAGTCGGGTCCCTGCAATGCCAGTTGCTTCCGGTTTGCTTTAGTCAAGCTATTGAGGCTCTCTGGTTATGATGCTGCTGTGTGCACAACCAGATGGCAGGGCGCTGGCAAGGTTCCTGGAGGTATCCATCCATCCCCTCACAACCTTGTTCGTTTACTTTTAGCGCTAGAGAATTTTCTGCTTTTTTGGTAGTGCTTGAGGGTATAATTCTGGCACCTTTTCTTTATTTGTGCATAAGGGCTTTTTCTTTTACCATCCACAGGAGACTACGAGTACATCGATGTCGTTAACTACACCAGTGGAAGCTCAGAGCGACTGATAGTCGATATCGACTTCCGAAGCCACTTTGAAATAGCGAGGGCAGTCGAATCATACGATAGGATATTGGATTCGCTTCCTGTAATCTACGTTGGTTCGTTATCGAGACTTAAGCAGTTCCTTCAAATCATGGTTGAAGCTGGGAAGTCATCGCTTAAGCTAAACTCGATGCCACTCCCTCCATGGAGATCTCTTGCATACTTGCAAGCGAAATGGCAGTCACCATGCCAGAGAATGGTTCATCATCCAGAAGAACAGCAGCAGCAGTTGATGTTAAGCCACAAGCAGTGCATGGGACATTTGAAGAGACTTCAATCAGTACTCCAATCAGAAATCGAAATGGATCGGTTTCTGAGGCCGATGACCGGTGATAACATTAGGAAAATAAAGACCGAAAGGCGACGACACTTGAGATGTAGAAATGAGAGGGAGAAGTTTTGGATTTGATTTGATACACCAGCATCAGACAGAGGGAGGTACTACATAAGTTGTGATGGATGGGAATTCAATTTACAAACAACCAACCATGGAGGAACCACTGCTTGGTTTGGCTGTTTTTTCTAATATATATATATATATATATATATATATATATATCTATTTATACAATAGAATTAGAAAGAAATTTTTATTTCCTTTTACAATTTTCTCTCGGTGCCTGATGTTTTTGTGGGCGTTGGGAACTCTTCATTTTTATCTCATATGATTGTATTTTAATTTTTTATTTTTTATTTTTTATTTATCCATTATGCTCTCAAGTGGGAAATTTATGTTCTTAATTATTGACATTTATTATTATCCTTTTTTACTATTTCATTTGAATAAATACCCAGAATTATTGCGTGATTCGATTTTTAATTCCAATTTTTATCATGATATCAGTAAAAATCTTTTTTTATTTACTGAATAAAATATTTGATTTTGGAGGTAAGCAGAGTTTTTTTTTTCAGAGTAATTTAAAATTTTCAAAGGCTAAATTAATAAAAATTTCATAAACTTTAAAAAAGATTAAAAAAAAATACTCTTTGAAATTTAATAATTTACAAAGTTAAAAATATTATTGTACAAATTTTTTTTGTTATTATTAATATATAAAGGAAGATCATTTATTTACCCCTCTTTTTAAAAAAATTTCTTATTTATATATTAATGATAAGAGTATTTTTTAACTTTTAAAAAGTTTTTTAACTTTTAAATACTTTAAATTAAAAGTGGAAGAATATTTTTTTACAAATTATGGACATTTTAAAACTATTTTATTAGTTTTGTTTTTTTATTAATAATTTAAAACCCCACTCTTGTGGACAAAAAACAAAAAATTTGGAGACTTCGTTTTTACGTTTTAAAAAATGTAAAATTTGAAAAAGTTGTTAGTCAACAACTCAAACTTTATAAATATAAATCATTATCTATAGCCTTTAATTAGATGTGAAATTTCATAAAGTAAAAAAATAATAATAATAAAATAATTAAAACAAATTTCCAACCTACGAGGAGCATAAGAGCAAACATCTCATTAAAGACATTAAATGTTGGAAACCATACAATTGTAGACAAACTAAAACATTGTTCAAAAAAAGCCTTGATTATTCAAAATTCAAAAATCCACCTCACCTTCTCCACCATTATCATTGTTCAACAAACACACTTTTGGTTTGGTTTGGTGATTCATAATCATTGTTAGGTAATCTGTCTGTGGCATACCTTTAAAAATCGTCCTTATTCTCTTTACATGTTTGGTCATAGCTAAAAGAGTAACGTGAGAATCTATGACAGTCCAAACTTATCTTTTTTACCTCGTTATGTATCTTCGCTAGCCTTACAATTTTAAAATGCGTCTATTAGAAAAATGTTTCGTTTTGCTCGCAAACCGACGTTAAATCTCAAAGAGTCGAAAAAGTGTTCTAAAACTATTGTTTATACTCTACGATCAAAGTTAAGATTACGTTAGAATTAATTTTGACGGAAATGGGATGAATGGGTGAACAAAGTTTTGGTGAGGGGCCATAATGTGTTCCTCCTTGCAAGGGTTAATTTATAAGGCTTTTTTCCCATCACCTCTCTCAAGTTTTTGTTTTCGCATGATATGATTAAAGGCAACGCTGGCTTTAGAAGGAGACTACCTTTATTGAAAGGCCTTGTAGGTAACCTTCCCTTGTCTCTCTCCAATAACATACAACCAAATGGGTTCGATACAATCTTCCTTTAGCTTTTTTTTTGAACCAAACCAAACTCAGTTCATCATTTCTTCATTAAAATTTTAAGATAAAGTTTGTCTTGTTTAATTGTATGCACTTTAGACAGCTCCTGATACGATACTGGTCGTATTTATTTTGATCTTATCACTAATAAATTAACATGCTTTAGACAGCTCCTGATACGATACTGGTCGTATTTATTTTGATCTTATCACTAATAAATTAACATGCTTGTAATCGCTCCTGATACGATACTGGTCGTATTTATTTTGATCTTATCACTAATAAATTAACATGCTTGTAATCAGTAATGCTTTCTTTTTGAACCAAACCAAACTCCGTTCATCATTTCTTCATTAAAATTTTAAGATAAAGTTTGTCTTGTTTAATTGTATGCACTTTAGACAGCTCCTGATACGATACTGGTCGTATTTATTTTGATCTTATCACTAATAAATTAACATGCTTGTAATCAGTAATGCTTTCTTTTTGAACCAAACCAAACTCCGTTCATCATTTCTTCATTAAAATTTTAAGATAAAGTTTGTCTTGTTTAATTGTATGCACTTTAGACAGCTCCTGATACGATACTGGTCGTATTTATTTTGATCTTATCACTAATAAATTAACATGCTTGTAATCGTAATGCTTCCAATGCTCTAATGGTAATGAAGGTTTTTAGAGTTCCAAGGCTGAGAAGTTGAAGAAATGGGTGAAATTATGAAAGTTGAGAGATTCAAGTAATTTTCCTTTTTAGGTTCAAAGTTTTGTGGTCCTCCTCCTCTGAAATTGGGCTCCTTGTAACCATATTTAGAAGTTCATGGGAACCTAAATAACTAGAATCTTCCAATTCTCTAAGCCTTACATTTTTTTTCCCTTAAATTCAAGTTTATTTTTTAAAAAAATAATTACAAATTTAGTCCAAAGATTTAAGAGTCTAGTCAGAAAAAAGAGGGTATGTTATCTAGACGCCACAAGTGATTTATTATGCATTATCTTGAATTTGAAGATCAAACAAATAATTTAAACTTCAAACTTCGAGCTACTAATGGCTAAGATCAAATTCCCACCAAACACAGAGATGTGGATAGCGACTTTATCCAAACTTTCTTTCTAGCTTTATGAGTTGTTTGTGAGTTAACAATTCATTGGTTAAGGATGGAATAGTACTCTTTCATCATCATGAAGCTAAGTGGCCAAATAAGAATAAAGATTGTTTGATCATCCCATCTTAAAATAATGATTTTTAGAACTCCATACCATTCAATTATACTAGAATTAAGTGTATTTTTTAAGATATTAATCAAAGGGATTAGTGAAATGAGAGAATTTTGGCTTAACTTGAGGAAAATGAAATGATTTTTTTTTTTTTTTTTTTTTTTAAACAGTGAACTCTTGTAACGTAGGAGGCCAAATAAAGGAAACATAGCGCACAGTTGATCGTACCATGAAAAGCAAAAGAGAGGCAGCAAAACCCATCACCGCCTGAACAGAGAAGAAAGAAGAAGAAGAAGAAGACATGGACGAAACAGAGATGAACAAGAACAAGAGCAAGAAGAACAAGATCAAGAAGCAAAAACGCCAACACCCAACTGACCAATCCACAGAATCAGCTTCTGATTTCACTTTCAAGCCAAGCTCTGATGTAAAGGGCCTCAGATTCGGCGGTCAGTTCATCGTTAAATCCTTCACAATCCGGCGAGCTAGGCCTTTAGAGCTCCTCCGCCTCCTCTCTTTTCCGGCCACCACCAGAAACTCCGGTAACAAACCGCCGTTCCCATCGGCCACAGCTTTCATTCCCACAAACTTCACAATCCTCGCTCACCATGCCTGGCACACCCTCACTCTAGGCCTTGGCACCAAGAAGTCCAAAGTTGTTCTCTTTGTGTTTGAAAATGAGGCCATGAAAGCAGCTATAGACCGTGTTTGGCCGACAGAAATCCCTCTTGGCGAAGTGAACAAGAAGATGATCAGAGGGCTATGTGGGTGCGAGATGGCTCGGTTCAAATTTAGAAAAGGGTGCATAACTTTTTATGTTTATGCAGTTCGAAGAGAAGGGTGTTTTGGGTTTTCTTGTGCTGATGATTTGAGAACCATTTTGGAATCCGTTGTTGCTCTCAAAGATTTCTTGGATCATACTGCTATGTTGGCTATGCCTCATCAGAGAACCATCAGCTTTGCTGCGCCTCCTGTTGCAATGGCTTATTAGGCTTCTAATTATATTGCTATTCATTTTCCTCTATTCTCGTATCACCAAGCACAGAAGATTGATTGGTAATGGTAATTGGTTTATTTGTTCAAACCTTCCTTTTCTTTCTCCAAGATGAACACTTGTCCTGTAGAATGAATAACACTAATCGGACTACTTATACATTGTCTCTGTGCCTAAATCTGTCTTTGTTGTGATTGTGTGCACAGTTTGTTTCGTGAAAGGTGAAATTGAAGAGCTTCCACTCTTCAACTACATGGAATTCTGTGTGTAATAACAGATAAATTATGATGATTTTGCATCTACAGACCAGAAATTCTCTCCCCTTTTCTCCTTTCTACTTATTTTTATCTCCAAATTCTGTTCTTCTTCCTGCAGTTCATTAGTAATTGCTTAAAGATCTCGAATTAGCTATAGATTGCATTGGATGTCAACACAATGTGATTCCAATCCCAGAAGATGCAAAGAATGGAACCTGCAGTCCCAGAACTTCATTGTTTTTTCATACCATGAGTGTCAAACCCAAAATTGATTCAATCAAACACCAAAAGCATACCGTCCATTTCATAATTCAGACAGGACCCATTTAATGAAATTCGAAAAACCCAACAAATTTTCTCATTTCCCATAATTTTTTTCTGTGCGGCATTTCATCAAACACTTGATGCATGTGAGGGCTGGTACAATTAAAACGGCAGGTCAAAATCTGCACCAACACCGCCACCTCCGACTTTGTGGTCTTAAGAAATTAAAGAAAGGGGAAAAAAAGAAAGAAAGAAGACTTAGCTTTTTCTGATTCCCCGAACGGCCATGGCATTAATCATGTCGAGAGAGAGGGCCCATTTTCAGTCAGCTTTATGACACGAGTCATCATGATCAAGAAGGCTACTACCCCCACTTGAATGAAATGGAAGCCTCTTTCATGTGTATGCTTAAGCTTCTTTTGCTGCCATTTTCTTTTATCACTATGGGGTTTCCTGATTTCGCTAAAATATGAAGAATTTTCAATGAATCATGATTTGTCGTATTGATTTGTCTGCTTCAACTTGTTCAAGTTTTTCCCTTTTTGGGTTTGATTGATTATTTGAAGGAGATAAGGAGACACATTCTTTTGAATTGAGAAATGGTAAAGAGATATTTGCTTGTCACCATTACACATGTCTAAGGTATGTTGTCTATAATCGCATGTCGAATGTCTCGATCATGCTTGTCGGAGACGTGTTGTCCATAGTCGCATGCCGTTTCCAAACCCCTTGGTACATGCTTTCATCTTAGATAGACTTTTACTATTTCATGTTGTGTTAATATAACCGTTCACTAAAATTATATCTACACCTAATAGGGTTAAAATGTCCAGAAATGTACTTTTGTGAATATGACTAATTGTCACTTCTTTGGCTTATATGTCATTAGAGAGTTGTTGTCAACTCCCTTTTAGCTTGTAATATTATTTTCTTTCAAATTGTTTCTAACGTATTTTTTCACTCACATTTTTTAAAAAATTTCTCTCGAACGTGATTCGAGACTCGAGTATACCTGACGTTGTTTGAAAAATATAAAATTTTCACGAATTCATTGGATTAGAACAAATATCAAATTTAGAACAAATGTCAAACCGTAACTGAAAAGTGGGATTGTGATACTTGGTATGGCCATTATCACGTAACATAATATGGAGTTTGGTACTCATTCCATTGGCTAGAAGGGCTGGATGTTAAGAGCCTTGCCCTCTACCAATTGAGGTAGACGGGCTCGAAGTTTCATACCCCTGAAGGCTGAATATGAAGATATAATAATTGGGCCATAAAAACAAATTGGGCCGATTGTCTACACAGTTCATAATAGGCTTAGGGCCCAATATGTAGTAGATCTATCATTTGGGCCATCAAAGCGTATTGGGCCGATTTTCTTCGGCCTGCACTTAAAAATTTTAATAAAAAGAAGAAAGAGTTAGTCACGCCCGTGGGGTTCGAACCCACGACCACAAGGTTAAGAGTAGGGGTGTACATGGTCTGGGTTGGATCGAGCTGGAGGATTTTTTCGACTCAAACCAACCCGCGTGGGGTTCGAACACATGACCACAAGGTTAAGAGTAGGGGTGTACATGGTCTGGGTTGGATCGAGTTGGAGGATTTTTTCGACTCAACCCAAAAGTTCGGGTTGGTTTGATTGGTAACCCAACCCAACCCTCTATTTTTGGGTTGGGTTCGGGTTAAGTCCGGATTGGGTTCGGGTTAAGTCCGGATTGGGTTGTCAAATTTTTTATTTTAAGTTTTATTTATCCACAATTTATAAAACTAAATAATTAAATACCGACATTTTTTAAAACAAAAAAATTAAATATGTATTTGACACGGGTCGAACTCGGACACTGTAAAAACGTTGAAAAAAACAAAAAAAATTAAATATGTATTTGACACGGGTCGAACTCGGACACTGTAAAAACGTTGAAAAAACAAAAATATGTAATTGACAACAAAAGTTGAAATCGGATGTGTCTTTGAACTAAATTCAATACCACTCTGACAAATCCATTAATACAAAATTGTTCTTAATATATATTATATATTTTTCTTTGGATTGGGCCGAAGATTTTACGCATGAACCCGAAACCGATTCAATTCGGGTTTAGAAAAATGAATCCAACCCTACCCAACCCAACCCTACCCAACCCAACCCTACCCAACCCAACCCTACCCAATCCAACCCAACCCTACCCTTATAGTTTGGGTTAGGTTGGTCCGGGTTGTCGGGTTAAATGTACACCCTAATTAAGAGCCTGCGCTATACGGGCTCAATGTTTTATAGCCTAGTATCGGCTCTGGGCTGAATATGAAGATATATTAATTGGGCCATAAAAACGGATTGGGCAGCCCAGTAGAGGCTTAGGGCCCAATATGTAGATATACTATTTGAGCCATCAAAACAGATTGGGCCGATTTCCTTCGGCCCGCACTTCAAAATTTTCATAAAAAGAAGAGAGAGTTAATCACGCCCACCGTGGGATTTTTGAACCCACGACCACAAGTTTAAGAGCCTTGCGCTCTACCAACAGAGCTAGACGGGCTCGATGTTTTATAGCCCAGTATGGGGACTGAGCTCAATATGAAGATAAACATACTATTTGGGCCATTAAAACGGATTGTGCCGATTTCCTTCGGCCCGCACTTCAAAATTTTTCATAAAAAGAGAAAAGAGTTTATCTCGCCCACCGTGGGGTTCGAACCCACGACCACAAGGTTAAGAGCCTTGCGCTCTACCAACTGAGCTAGACGGGCGGCTTCATAGCCCAGTATGAGCTACGGCAATATCAAAATATCGGATTGGGCCGATTGTCGACACAGTCCAGAATAGGCTTAGGGCCCAATATGTAGTTATACTATTTGGGCTGATTAATCACGCCCACCGTGGGGTTCAAACCCACGACCACATGGTTAAGAGCCTTGCGTTCTACCCACTGAACTAGACGGGCTCGATATTTTATAGCCCAGTATTGGCTCTGGGCTCAATATGAAAATATGCTGATTGGGCCATAAAAACGGGTTGGGCCAATTGTCTACACAGTCCAGAATAGGCTTAGGGCCCAATATGTAGATCTACTATTTGGGCCATCAAAACGGATTGGGTCGATTTTCTTCGGCCCGCACTTCAAAATTTTTATAAAAAGAAAAAAGAGTTAATCTTGCCCACCGTGTGGTTCGAACCCACGACCACAAGGTTAAGATCCGTGCGTTCTACCAACTGAGCTAGACAGGCTCAATATATTATGGCCCAGTATTGGTTCTGGGCTCAATATGATAATATACTTATTCGGCCATCAAAACGGATTGGGCCGATTTTCTTCGTTCCGCACTTCAAAATTTTCATAAAAAGGAGGAGTTAATCATGTCCACAGTGTGGTTTCGAACACACGACCACAAGAGCTTTGCACTCTATCAACTGAGCTAGACGGGCTCAATATTTTATAGGGGTTCTGGGCTCAATGAAGATATACTAATTGGGCCATTAAAACGGATTGGGCCGATTTTCTTGGGCCCGCACTTAAAAATTTTCATAAAAAGAAAAAAACTTAATCACGCCCACCGTGGGGTTAAGAGCATTGCGCTCTACCAACTGAGCTAGACAGGCTCGATATTTTATAGCCCAGTATGGGCTCTGGGCTCAATATGTAGATATACTATTTGAGCCATCAAAACGGATTGGGCCGATTTCCTTCGGCCCGCAATTCAAAATTTTCATAAAAAGGTAAAAGAGTCAAATCTCGCCCACCGTGGGGCTCGAACCCACGACCACAAGGTTAAGAGCCTTGCGCTCTACCAACTGAGCTAGACGGGCTTTACGTATTAAGTTAACATATTTTTTATATATTAAAATTTGGATATTATTATTTTTTTATTTTTAAAGAAATGATTTCTATGTAGTCCATTTGTTGACCGCTGAAGGACGGAATAGCGCCAACCTCTCGGCTCCTGCTGCAATTTTGAGCTATACAATGGAGTATCCACGGACGATACTGTTCATTTTGATTAGCCTGGCTCTTAGTATTGTAGCAGCTTTGATCTCTGCTATAATCCTTGAAGCTTATAGGAGGAGATTCAATCACGGGTACGCTACTGCTACATTCCCCATTGATTTGATATACGATTTTGTTTTCCAAATTGTCTTATTTCTGTTTAAATGAGATTTTCGTTGTGCCCATTCGTTTGGTTTGTTTCAGCCACATTGAAGCTCCTGCAATCTTCGAGGACCCAAACTCGTTGAAACGGGTAACTTTTTATCCTTTTTCTTTGAGCTTCTATTTGGAGTTTTATATGTCAGAGGTCACGTTTGATCGCTTGAAAGATTAAACAATACTTTTGTTAATATCGACTCTCGAGCTTGTGAGTATTTCAATCGCTCCAAGATTGTCTTTGAAGAAATATAATTGATAGGCAGCTAGAGGTTTAGTCAAACAATTTGGAATTTGATCGTAGAATGTATGTACGTTTGCTCGTCATTTTCAATAATTTTATCTCTTATCAAGTGTGAGATATAGCGCTAGATTTTTTATCCTTGCATGGTAGACTGGGTGTACGGCCAGCACAAGCACTAGTGATATGACACCAAGAGATAGGAAGCGAGTACGGATCAATGTGAAGTTCTTTGAGAATGGACTTCATCCAAGTTTATTCTAGATCGCAGTAGCTAGAGATCTATACTCTTGATTCTTTATTTGACCTAGACACAACACATTTCTTCTTAGATCACCATGAAACTAGATTTTTAACAAGACAGACAATTTATCTGTTGATTCTTCCAACTTCCTAGCTGTGCTCAATTTCCTATAAGAAGCTGGACACAAATGGAGAGTCTCGCAAGGTTTTATATAGACGCTTTGATTTTGGGTTCCTCTCAAGTATGAGAGGATTTTCGTGACCCCTTACCTATGATGAGTGTAGTTATTTGGAATGTTAACATCCATGTTATATTTGGTTGTCTCAGAAGATAAATTTTTGTTGAGCCCCTATTACATTTCTGAACTTAGCACAGCAGCGGTGAAACAGCCCTTTAAGTGTCGACTGTTGTTCAATTTACTCAAGATATCAGTGACATACTTGCATTGTTATGACTTATAGATAGATCTCTGATTTTACTCTTCTTATAATCCGTACCGCATACCAAGATGATCCAATGCAAAGAGTTTGTTCAAATCTGTAACTAGCTATTTTATCTTTGCTTTGCTATTTTCTATGATTAGTATTTCATAGACATGAATGAGACATAGACAAGAGTTATAAAGCCCAAACTTAATAGAAGTCGTTCTTAACTTTTTGAGACTATAAAAGGCCTTGGGTAGCTTGCATTTATGTTTAGGTTTTTTAAGGTTCACGTAATCATCTTCTTTAAACTATCCAACCAAAAAAGAGTTATTTATATCCGATTTCTCTTTTATGAAACCTTTTTTTTTTGTATTCCGTAGAATAGATGTTGCCAATTGTTTCAAGTCACAGCCTCACTTATTATTAAAAATCAAATAAAATAAAAGAAGAAGAAGAAAGAGAACTAGCGATTCTGACAAGCGGACTAGCGATTGTGCGGCACTCACTTTCCAACGACAAGTGAGCTAAGTCAATTTGTTCTTGCGTCGCCTACGGCCAAGCGATGTATGATTGAGCTTCTAGCCTTGGTTTTAAAAGAAGGTTTTAGAAAACGAGGGCAGAGATTTTTGAAAGAGACGTTATATAAGCAAGCAAGAGAGAGATAACAACCGCTTACAATATATAACCTTGGGGAGGGGGATATGACTTCCTTGAATATTTGTGTTGCAACCTCAAAGTAACTTGCTCAACCAAATCAAGGAGAAGTTGATCATTAGCAACCCTCTTATAGTCATTATTACGGATCACCTGAGTTGAGGTTCTGATACTCAAAAGATAGCAAGGGAAGAAAAGATTCTTTATTGTTTTTTTTTTTATTGAATTATTCTGATAATGAGTACAGTGATATATAGGCATGCAGTCTTACAGTTTTCCAGCTCTAGCAGAAATAGTCCGTCTCATAAATCATCTAAAGCAACCTCAGCTCACCAAACAAACACACTCTATTACAATTTGCAATTACTTAACAACCACTGCCAACACCTAATGGGTTCTCTGCACACCTTCGCAAGCCAATAGTGGTTGAAGACCAGGCAATGAGCTTGATTTTTAATTGGTGAAAATTCAACCAGGATACTGGCTTGGTTAGGATGTTGCAATCTGAGTTGAAGAAGGCAGAGGTTGAACACTGTATTACTTTTCAAGAACTAAATCACTTATTTGAAAGTAAAACTCTTCTATTTTATTTGCATCAAGTAGTCCATAACAAGGGGGGGAAATATTTTTTTAAGTAAAATTAATAATCAATAGTTTCTCACATTGGAATAAATTGATGGATTATGAGAAAATAAACTTTCATTGAGAAACATGAAAGAAAACACAAAAAAAAATTGCTGAACAAAAGGAGTCATAGTAGAAACTGGCTAAACAAGAAGGAACTCCAAAATTGATGGAAATCTTAAGTCATATGATGTTTATGTTTGGAATGTTGGTTCAAAATTGGTATCCAGTGTTATGTAGAATGCATGGTATCAAGTTTGTTGAACTTTTTTCAGGTTCCTTGCCCTTCAATTTTTGATCCAGCTGAGAAGTATATGTCCTTGATCGTTCCTGCTTTCAATGAAGAGTACAGGCTTCGTGGAGCTCTCGAGGAAACCATCAAGTAAGCTGAAACACATAAAAATTTTCATTTTTTCCATATAAGTATTTTTACTTCTTGTCTCTTATACCCAATTGCTCTCTTCGACCATGGTTTTCTCTGTATACCAATCCTCTGCTCCTCTCGACTCAGATTTTCCTAATTCTTGGATTTTTCAATGTTCTCCTCATAGTCTCTACATTGCTAGATATGACGGGCAAAATAAGACCCCAAGAGAATGTTTCTCAACTTTTAAAGGCCACAATCCTTTCCTAATTAATGGTTGAAAAGCTACGAGACAAAGTATAATTTCATTCCTTTGCTTTTTAGTTATCTTCAACAACGTGCAGCCAAGGACAAGTCATTTTCCTATGAGGTATTTCCTTTGTCCATTTGTCCCCTTTCTTCTTGTTCCTGATCATGGGCAACTCTCAAGAAAATTGTATTGTTGGTTTGTTGCTTATGGACTTTATATGCCAATATTTTCTTGCTTGTTAATTGTTATTCCTTGATATAATCTTCTTTATTGTTTTTATAAGAAACCTGGAGATATGAATTAAGAGAGAGAAGAAACCTACGGGCCAGGGGAAAAGGACTCCCCCTCCAAAATATAACTACTTACAAAAACAACTTCTAATCTTGAAGAATCATGGAATGTAGTTAAAAAGAATTTGCTATAATTATAGCATCACAAAGAAGCAGTGAGCTGTACATTGTTCCAGATTTTCGGAAATCATTAGACTTAAACTCAAACGTTTTGTTGTTCCATTCCAACCAAATACCCCACATTATGGCACGAGAAGTGAACTTCCAAAAAACCCTTGTTTTTTCTTTCAAATTCCAACCACTGACAGCACAGCCTCATGTCGCCGTCATCTACTTGTCTAGGTATGCAAATATGAAGGTCAAACAAGTTTATTCTAAAGGGACCATTGTTTTTCCTAACCACTCACTCTTACGGTTTAAGAACAAAGTAGAAACTTATATAAAAGATGTAACTGCTCATTGGTTTAAGAACAAAGTAGAAACTTATATAAAAGATTTAACTGCTCATTGGTATGTATGGTGTATGTAATGCATGATGCTGAATTCATCATATACCGAGCTGCTTCGGATGCTTTGCCTTCAATGCTGAACATTTAATCATCCGACTTGTACAGGTGATAATAATTGATGACGGGAGTGTGGATGGAACAAAAGGAGTAGCCTTCAATTTTGTTAGGAAGTACTCTGTAGAAAATGTGAGGGTAATACTTCTTGGAAGAAATCATGGAAAAGGGGAAGCTATTAGAAAGGTGAGTTTGGACTTGCCACTTTATTTATAACACTTGTATGATTATTGTTCTCTCTACACCACTTTATTTGTAACACTTATATGATTATTATTCTCACTTTCTAAAATGCATTTTCAAGCAGGGAATGCTTCACTCACGTGGTGAGCTACTTCTGATGCTGGATGCTGATGGAGCAACAAAAATTACTGACCTAGAAAAACTTGAAAACCAGGTTTCGACAAACCCAATCTATTTTCATGTGCAATTTTTTCTATGAAGTTTAAAAATGTGAAATAGTTATTCAAGACGAATTTTCTCTCCCCCAGATCCATGCAGTAGCAGTTGTTAAGAAGGAAGGTTCAAGAGATCCAAGCATTAGAATATCTGATATTCCAATCACTGCATTTGGATCTCGCGCTCATCTCAAGGAGAAGGCTCTGGCTACAGTTTAGTGTTGGTCTTGCAATTGTCTCGCTTATTTATTTTAGCTTTTCTTTTTCATAAAAATACGACAGGTTCTTTCACTTTTCAGAGGAAGTGGTACCGCAATTTCTTGATGAAGGGTTTTCATCTTGTGGTTCTTCTAACTGCTGGTCCTGGAATCCGGGATACACAGGTCCTTTTTTAGTTTGTATCACATGCTCCTTCATGTACATGTGCCATATCTCTGTGCAGTAATAAAGACATAGTGTTTATACGTTCCATTATCTCTGCTAAGCTTCAAATTTTAATCCTTATTTTCGATTTCCGTGATCATATGCAGTGTGGTTTTAAGATGTTCACGAGATCTGCTGCAAGGAAGCTGTTTACCAACATTCGTTTGAAGAGGTAAAATCCCCTCTCCAATCCAATATTTTCTCTCTTTGAGGTTTTAATTCGGACAATCTGAGCGCAAAACCATAAGAATTGAAATTTGTTGGCTTATTTTGTTTTCCTATTCTCTTTCATAGTCCTGATGCTTGTCGTCGGTGAACTCTTTTCAGCAATAGTAATTGTTCATCTATGATTTGAGCTTCCATGAATTGCCGAGTCTGATCAACGGATCAACTAAGCAACAAGAACTGACCGACTAAGCATTCACTTCCTGCAGGTGGTGCTTTGATGTTGAGTTGGTTTACCTGTGCAAATATTTTGGGATTTCTATGGTTGAAGTATCCGTGAACTGGTCTGAAATACCCGGATCCAAGCTAAGTCCACGGAGCATTTTAAACATGCTTTGGGAGCTCGCACTCATGTCTGTGGGATACAGAACCGGAATCTGGAGAATTTCAACCTGAGCTTCCTTCCGACTGAATTTCTCAGACACAAAGAATGGGAAAGATGATCAGTTCACGAATACGGTATATATTTCACCCGCAATAGTTCGTGGTGTGCAAAATTTAGAGCTGAACGAATTTTGAATAATTTTGTATGCCAATGTGATTATTCTGTTTTTTTTTTTTTTTTTCCTTTAATTATTTTGTATGCCAATGTTTTAACATCCCAGCCATGCATGTGGCTGGCTAAGTTATTCTATTGCAAAAGCTTATTTGGGGGATTACATCTCTGGCAATTTCTTTGAGACCCTCTTGATTATATTGTCAGGCTGATATACAACAACTCAGCCATGTTTCGGTTCTGTTCATAGATGAAAACTTCATTCCTTCTGGTTTTAAACACCGTCATATTGTGTACGCAACCTATTCTTTTTCTGGTTTGGGTGGATTGAGTTATAAACTTATTTGAATTGGATTAAAAAAAATGAAAATTTTATATAAATTGAATTAAATTCACGATCTCCTCCACTCAAATTTATTATTAATTTTGAAAAATTGATTAAATGAGTTGAACTTGATTATTTAAAATAAAGAGATGAAATAATTGGTTTAGATTTAAAAAATATTATAATCCAACCCTGTGCGGAGTAGATAACTCAAGATAAGTGCTCTCCTATTCCGACTTCCCAAGAGCCTCCAGTAGCATAGCCAAGATAGCGATGGGATCTCTATCCTATAGGGATGGAGCGACAGAAGTTCTGAAAATTCAAGAGAAGAAGATGTTCGTCACGATAGGTGTCAAGTGGAAGTGCAATGATGTATGCAGCTGAGGCATCCTAACAGACCAATAGACTTCCTACATGACCTCCTCCATGACCAAATTAATTCGATTAGGCCAGATTAATTCGATTAGGCACTCATCTATTTTCAGCTTATTTATCCCAATTATTATTAGGCAAACACTTTTTGTAATCAATGATGTTTAGAGTCTTAAGTTATGATTACGTGGCTCGGCAACCAACTCCAGTACCTTATTGAAATCAATTATTTCAATATTAGAACAATAGCGAAGGACAAAAATGCTAAACAAACAGACAAACAAAAAAAAGGCTACAAAGTTGCCTTTCATTCCGACACATAAAACAGTACACTCCCATATGTCTTGACCCTTCGGCTTCTTTCTTGTCTTTTAGAAGCACTTCCTGTGCACAATCGATGGCCCAGACTCATCATACTCTGCCTTTGCAATCCACATCTGCACCAAAAACACAAGGGACCCATTAGTAAGAACAAAACTGAAAGCTTTTAATAATAATGTCTACCTGCTGGAAGGTACTCAGAGAAGCCAAGATGGAGCCACCAATCCAAACACTGTACTTTCTTTCTGGAGGTGCCACCACCTTGATCTTCATGCTGCTCGGCGCCAATGCAGAGATCTCCTTACTCATTCTATCGGCAATGCCCGTAAACATGGTCGAACCACCGGAGAGGACGATGTTACCATACAGATCCTTCCTAATATCCACGTCGCACTTCATGATGGAATTATATGTAGTTTCATGAATGCCCGCAGCTTCCATTCCGATCATGGATGGCTGGAAGAGAACTTCCGGACATCTAAAACGTTCGGCACCTATCGTGATGACTTGTCCATCAGGCAACTCGTAGCTCTTTTCAACTGATGAACTGGTCTTAGAAGTTTCAAGTTCCTGCTCATAGTCAAGCGCGATATATGAAAGCTTTTCCTTCATATCCCTCACAATTTCTCGCTCTGCTGTGGTCGTGAATGAGTATCCACGCTCCGTGAGAATTTTCATCAAGTTATCAGTAAGGTCACGGCCAGCAAGGTCGAGTCGAAGAATGGCGTGTGGGAGAGCATACCCCTCATAAATGGGGACTGTATGACTCACACCATCACCAGAATCCATCACAATTCCTACATAATAGAACAAGAATTCCCTAAGAACTTCAATCTTCATAGTTTTACAGTAATGATGAACTTATAGTGAACTCTCACCAGTTGTTCGACCACTGGCATATAGTGAGAGGACAGCTTGAATAGCTACATACATGGCAGGAGTGTTAAAGGTTTCAAACATGATTTGGGTCATCTTTTCACGGTTAGCTTTGGGGTTAAGAGGGGCCTCAGTTAGGAGAACAGGATGCTCCTCTGGGGCAACACGAAGCTCATTATAGAACGTGTGATGCCAAATCTTTTCCATGTCATCCCAGTTACTAACAATACCATGCTCAATTGGGTATTTCAGGGTCAAAATACCACGCTTGGATTGAGCTTCATCACCTACATAAGCATCTTTCTGGCCCATGCCGACCATCACGCCGGTGTGACGAGGTCGGCCGACAATGCTAGGGAAAACTGCTCTGGGAGCATCATCACCAGCAAATCCAGCCTAAAACAATGGCACAGGAAGAAATGCATTAGCCATAGCCATAGCCATAGCCATAGCCATAGCCATAGCCATAGCCATACATAAAAATCACAGGAAAGGCAGTCTACCTTAACCATTCCTGTTCCATTATCGCATACAAGAGGCTGAATGTCCTCTCCATCTGCCATCTTTTATATAGCTGCTAGAAAAGTTGGAATTAGTTGACACAAGCATCATTGGAACTCAAAATCCAATGATCAATATAAATCACACTAAATGCAAAGTATAAACAGGGAAACAAACAATTCTCAGACGTTATTTCTGAGTATCAAACTGTGCCATTGCCACAAAATATGCTGTTCTTTCTTGGATTTCTTAATTCTTGGTTCATACACTATAATTAAATTGATTGACAATTAGGTATCAGCCTCACTCTAACGGATCATTATAGAGTACCATGCACTCAAAAAATTGCCTACTGTATTGAATCTTGATAAAACAGCAACGATACAGTGAGATTAGAAAAACAATCAGGTAGAACTTAAGAACAAACAACAATATAATAAAAAAGAAAGAACAAGAATCGACAGAAATGCAGATATAAAGAGATGCGTATGAGCAAATAACAAAAATCGATGATGGGAAACAAGAACCTTTGAGGATTGAAGGTGAGGAGTATGGGAGAGCGAGAGAGAGAGGGTTCCAAGGGAGGAATGAAAATGGGGAAATATAAAGAAGGAAACTGGATTGAATTCCATTTGGAGCGTCGGAGTTCATCACAGAGAGAAACGGGAGGTTCTTGTGGTACTCACTCACTGGATTTGCGACAGAGAGGGCGACTTCGTTGGGCTGGGCATCCCATTTCGTAGGGGGTCGTTATTACTTTTCATTTTCATTTTCTTTTTCTTTTTTTTATATTTTACCATTTTGCCCTCCCATGTCTTTCTTATTACCAATAAACTCTTCAAATTTTCTTACCCCACTCATTTTTATCCCCGAACTTAATCCTTTTTTCTTTCCCCATTTTTAATTACATTCAACAATTTTATATTATAATTTGACTTATTAAAATATTATATAATCGAATATAAACTCGTACGATCAAGTTAATAAATCAACAATTCAAATTTTACCAAATAAATCAACTATTTTTATTTCCCCTCTCCCCTTCAAATCTTAATTTATTTATGATGCCTATAAATGAAAATGTAAATTTTAATTTAATTTTTATGCAAGTTAAATTAGATTTTTTAGTTTATTTTATAATCAACCTTAATAATTATTCTCGAATAAATGATATAATAAAATTGTATAAACTTTTAATTGCAAATATTTAATACAATTTATATTTCAAACAATCAATTATAATGGAATAAATTACGATGCCTATTAATGATTTATTAATAAAACAATAAAAAGAATTAAAAAAAAGATTTATGCATTCACAAAAGAATACTTAATAAATTCTTATTAATTATAGCTTATTATTATTATTATTTACAATTTTAATTTGAATAAATTAATTATACTTCAAAATTATGATATATCAATCAGCTAATAAAAATGTCCCAATAAATAATAATTTATTTTGATTCCCATACAACACAAAGAACAAGGCAAAGTACTGTTAAGACAACCACAAAGAACATCAAATACATTGAGAAAATGATATCTTGTGGTGTTCTTCAAGGGACATTTTAAACTTGGAGCTACCAACTCGATAAGATACGGATCTGAGGCCGCCCAATCAATCCTTCTACAGAAATGGAGGAAGTATCACCCATCTGCGTGGGTACCTTGGCCTTCCCTCCTTCCCATCAAACAGCTGCACATAGGGACGGAAAAGTCAATATGTGAAACATAAATAAACGCTAACCTATCAACTTAAACTTCTTCGGTATCATAAATGAATGAATTGTTAAGGATTGTTTGGGAGAGGAGTCACACATCGGCTCATTAAGGGGTTGATCATGGGTGTATAAGTAAGGAATACTATCTCTATTGGTATGAGACCTTCTAGAGTAACCAAAAGCAAAGCTACGAGAGCTTACGCTCAAAGTGGACAATATCATACTATTGTAGAGGTTCGTGATTCCTAACATGAATTAAGAACAACTAGGAAAAATAAGTTAGATAGATTATACCTTCTTGAGGCGACGGTGCTTTGCAAGGGCCCAGTTAGTCATGATAAGAGTAGCAACCACAAGAAAGATGTAACCAGCAACAGTCTGTGTAGCTATATTGAAGCCTACCCACTGATATATCTCTGTTGTGTAGTTTGCACATGTCACAATGTTGAACAGAAACCCCTTTGGGATTTGATATCCCCCATTCCCCTCAGGGCTCCGCAGTTTTCTCAGCAAAATATGACAGTAGAAGTTACACACTTGACACAGCAAACCAAATGCAAACCCAATCTTCATTTGAAGGTCACCAACAGGGCTATAAAGTGGGTGATTAACATAATATGCAATATACGAACCAAAAGACCAGTAGTAAGCGCAGTTTCGAAACACATTCGAAAGCGGTGAGGTCGCGTGGCTGAACCTATGCACGAAAAATGTTTCCATGATTCGTTTGAAGTAGTGAAAACACCAGTAGTACATTGCATACGTCTGAACTGGATGGATGACACGTTCGGCCTTGTAGCCGAAGAACTGATAGACAGGGAAGTAGTAAAAGATGGGGTAGAGGATCAAGGGGCCCAAGTATTCAAAAAAGAAGAGAGTACGATAAGAAACTTGTGGACCCAAGTCCTTGAAGACAACAGTTATGTTGTCTGAGTTGTTGCTACAATACTCTCTGAGGCTTTTCTTGTAGTTAAGAACGGTAGGCCTCTCCTTTAAACCAGGTTGAACTGGAAGAGTTAACCGCTGCCTAGCAGGGTAGAACTTTTTGGCTGTTTCAATGAAACAAGGAAATCAGGTAGCTGCACTTTACATAACAATTGATATCGACTTACATGTATGCATGCCAAAAGGACTACCAATTTGCTACTGCTTAAGAACCATTCAACCATTTTACAGTAATGAAAGAACTAATTTTCGGGAAGGATGAGATAGAAATAGTTTATTACGAAGAAGTAGTGAAACATATTTTGATTCCTCACCCGTCAGGCGTGCAGTTTTTGTGAGATCCCACATCAGTTTGAGAGGAAAGAAAAACATTCTTTACAAAAGAATGGAAACCTCTTCCTAGTCGATGCATTTTAAAGCTTTGAATGAAAAGTCCAAAGAGGACAATATTTGGTAGGTTTAGACGGTTACAAATAGTATTAGAGCCAGACACCGGGAGGATGTGCTAGCAAGGAGGTTGAGCTATGAAGGGGGTGGACACAAGGCAGTCTGCCAACAAGGAGCCGGGCCCCATAGGGGTGGATTGGGGTCCCTCATCGATTGAAGAAGGGAACGGATGTCAGCGAAGAAAATGGGCTCCAAAGGAAGGTAGATTGTGAGATCCCACATCGGTTGGGGAGGAGAACGAAGCATTCTTTATAAGGATGTCAAAACCTCTCTCTAGCATATGCGTTTAAAACCTTGAGCCGAAGCCCGAAAAGAGAAGCTCAAAGAGGACATGACAATATCTGTTACAGTTTCACACCCAAGAGCTTAAACTGTTGTGCTAGGCTAAACTTAATCTTTAGATTCATCCGATTAACAACAAGTCCAGTTCTATCACTCACTCCAACAAAAATGTCAAATATAAGCTAAGATTTCTAACAATTCTAAGCTAAAAAGAGCATGTATGCAACAATGAAAGAAAACATTCTACCCTCATGTACTCACTTCGCTTGTAAATCACATCCTGCAGATCCGCCACCGAAGCCTGCAAAAGATTAAACAACAATGTCCATGAAACTTAAGATCCCATCAGCTACTCAACCGTAAGAAGCCAAATTAATAGGTCTAGAAACAGAACACAGCCACCAAAACAAGTTGTACTCTTATCATCCTTTCTTGTTTTCCAAGAATCGAAAAAGAAACAGTAATTGAATCAAAATCCGAACACTTACAGAATCGCTTAGTTGAATGCCGCCGTCAACAACTTCTCTCCCACTGCGAGAAACTACCGAGACCTTCATCTTCACAGCCAAATTAACCCCACTGCGATTTCAACCCAGATCCTGAAATAGCAGAATGAGAGGACCCAGAACCCAGAAATGGTTATATGATGAGATCTGCTAAAGGATTTTATTAAAAAATGGCGAAAGTTATCTGGGTCTGAAGTGGGTTTTGAAGGAGGAGGTTGGGAAGTAGGCTTATTAAATGGCGTGCAGTTGGGGTAGGAGAGCTAATTCCAACGACGGATGCAGCGCGTTCCTAATAATCTCCTCATTACAAATTTACAATTCGACAAATCGCTTTGTTTGTGAGGCTGGAAGTCCACAAATTTAACGGAATGAATGTGAAACCTAAATTTTAAATTGCACCAAATTTTGGGTAAGGATCAGTGTGACGAGAAGTGGTTGGTGGTTGGTGTGAGTGTCATCCCTCCAGCTAGTTTTTTTTCGTAATACTCAAAAATTAAAATTGAAATTGGAAAATGTTAAGACATAATAAATTGAATATTTAACTCAAAATCGAAAAAGTAACACACAACGGGTTTGAGAAGTTGAAGCCGGGCCGAAGCTCTGGACCGGTTATTTAAAGGGCAGTGGCGGGCAGATTGAATAATGAAACCTTTTTAGGGTGAGAAATTGATATCTTTGTACGGCGTTGAGCTGAATAATGGCTCAGAAATTCGGTGGCCGGTTGCTCCCCACTGGAACACCCTCGGTGGGTTGGTCCTTCGTCGTCGTCATCTCTTCGCTTCTCGCCGGCGCCTCCGTCGTCCACAACATCTACAAACCAAATCTTGTATTCTCTCAATCTGTTATGTTCTTAAATACGTAGAGTGACTCTCTGATGATTATTCATAGTCGGAAATATGGTCATGTATAGACGATTGCTGGGTGCAATTTAATTTGATAATGCCTATAACCTGTTTGATGAAATGTTCACCTTTTATTTTTTGTCTATTGTCTTCTTATTTGAGTATAGGACTTCCATTTCTGTTTCTGATCAATGAGATTATGAACAGTTGTCTAGCTATGTTCTTGAAATCAGATATCAATTTCAGCTTCTTCTTTTTTCAGAAATTAGGTGTGTGTGCCGTGTGCAATTTAACTTGACAATGCCTGCAACCTGTTTGATGAAGGCACATCTTATACTTTCTGCCTACTGTCGACTATCTCCTCGGATCAATGGGATTCAGAACAACTGTCTAGCCATGTTATTCTCTAGTGGATTTCCTTGTTCTTTTTAATTTTTATGTCTATTTTCTTTCAAGGTGTAACTGCCAAGTATATATATTGATTTGAACTTTCTCTTTTTGAGCTTCACCAAAGTTTTTAAAACGCTTTTACTAGGGAGAGGTTTCTACACTCTTATAAAAAATGCTTCATTTTCTCCCAACCGATGTGAGGTCTCACAATTCACCCCCTTCAGGGCTCAGTGTGTTCGTTGACACTCGTTTTCTTCTCCAATCGATATGAGACCCTCCCAATCCACCCCTTCAGAGTTCGACATTCTTACTAGCATACGGCCTCGTGCCTACCCCTTCCAGACTCAGCCTCCTTGCTGGCACATCACCCAGTGTCTAACTCTGTTACCATTTGTAACAACTCAAGCCCACCACTAGTAGATATTGTATTTTTTGAATTCTTCCTTTTAGGCTTCCCCTCAAGGTTTTAAAATATGTTTGCTAATAAGAAGCTTCTACACCCTTACAAAAAATGTTTCGCTCTTCTCCCCAACCGATATGGGTAAGTTTCTTTGTACAAATGAAAATTTCAGCTTATTGTTTCTTAAGATAGGATCATATCGTGTGCTGTGTGCAACATAACTCGTTGGATGATGAAAATCTCACCTCGGCTAATTTAGGGGATGATCATGAGTTTATAATCAAGGAATACTATCTGCATTAGAGTAAGGCATTTTGGGGAAGTCCAAAACAAAACCACGAGAGCTTATGCACAAAGTTGTAGAGATCCGTGCTTCCTAAACCTGATTGATGAAAGGTCCACCTTGAACTTTATTCCGATTGCCTTCTTATTTGAGTATAGGTCTGCTGTTTCCTGTTTCTGATAAAAGGAATTCAGAAAGACTGTCTAATTGTGCGCTTGAAATCAGATATCAATTTCAGCTTCTTCATTCTTCTTCTTCCCCCCTTTTCTTCTCCAGAAATATATTGGGATTACTGAGCCATTTTCTGTTTCTTGCATTTCTCTTAGTACCTTTTCATAAAATGTTTGCAAGTCTGTTCTGTTCATACATTTATGCAATTGTATTGCTTCATCCGTTTCTCTTGTTTCACTAGAAAGTACTACATTCAGATGGCTCTGAATTTCTAACGCATTTCATTTTTAATGTCTTTGTAGACCTTGCCTCCGGTGGAGAGCGTCCAAACAACCAGCAAGAAAGACCGTAATTAAAAATTATTTACTTTATGGTTTAGCATATAGTTTGTTTATTTCTTTCCAGATAAATGTTTTTCTCATCGTTCAGCTTAAACTCTTTTCACACGCTTTGATGTTGAAGTTCTCTATTGTTGGGAAAGGAAAAAAAAAAAAAAAAAAAGAATCTTTGAAAGATTGGCATACAGTAGGGTAAAAGTACAAATTCTTAATCCAAACCGCAACCTCAAGGCAGGGATCGAACCCCTGACTTAAATCGAAGCCATTTAAGAACCGAAACTTTGAAAAAAAAGAAAAAATTAAGGGACATTAGAGATGATTCGAGTGGTGTTCAACCTGGTATTGACCGAGATGGCCTTAATTTTGGTTTTACTGTTCAGAACTCCATTCAGAAAGCTCATAATCAGTGGATTGGACAGATTGAAGCAGGGGAGAGGGCCTTTGATGGTGAAAACCGTTGCCGCCACCATGCTGGTGCTCTTCGCCTCAACTCTCTACAATGCAGCGGAAATCCGCCGGCGAACGGCGGAGGCCGGCTTCCTCAGCCAGACCGACGAGGTTCTCATGGCTCATCGCCTTCTCGAAGCCTCCATGATCGGTGAGCTCTGTTCTTTTTAAGATTTTGTGTTCAATATATTCATGAATGAGCTATTTTGAAATGGTTTTGATTTTGGGAGTGTTTGGCAACAGGATTCTCGCTATTCCTCGTGCTGATTATAGACAGAATACATAATTACATCAGAGAGCTTCATCGACTTAGGACCAATTTGGAAGCAAGATCTGAAGCACGCACATGAAAAACATCGAAAAATCTGAAATTTATTTCAACTTTGTTTCCTATTTATCTGTAAATGCAATATATTACATAAGATATATTAATTAATAATGATTAATATTGAATATACCAATTAATTATTTGGGCCACAATGTTATTGGGTTATGTAGAAAAAGCCCAATAAGCAAACGAAAATGTAAAATCGCACTCTTAAAAAAAGGAAAAATAATTCATAATTTATAATATGAGATTGTTCCTATTTTTTGTTAAACAAATATTAAAAACTATATTATCAATACAAAGCAAATATGGAAGACCAACACTATATTTTCAAGGCTTCCTGATGAGGGCCAAGGAAGAGAGAATTGAGACAACGGCAGCACAAATGAAAGCGAGGAGAAGAACGGCTGCCGAAGCATTTCCCTTGTCCAAAAACGAGTTTAAAAGGTTGCCAACCAGCTCTTTAAGACCTACTCTCAAATCGATGCCAGCGCCTAACCCCGCCGAGGCCCCCGACAGTAGAAGATACGACAACAGCTACATAACATGACACAACATGACATCAAACATCCTTAAATCTCGAAAGCTTAAACAAATATCATTATACTTACCTTGTCGCTGAACATATCGAAGAGGAGAGTTCGATGGCTTTTGGTAACGACGTTGTAAATGTTGAGAGCAATTTGAAGTAGACTCAAAACAGCTCCAATAATAGTGGTTGATATCAAATATCTGTACATAAACAGAACCACATTGAATCAAAAGTTGCTGAGAATTCTAAAAGAAAAACCATATTTAAGAACACACTTACCGATAGGAATAAACATCTTTGAACTTAAATTTTGTTTCATTTTCAGCGCCTTTGTTCAAAGTTTTGGAATTTGTGGCGTTGATTAGGAGAGAAATGAAGATCAAAATGAAGGTCAGGATTCTCAGGATAAGTGAAGCAATTCTTGAGCCCTTTGACCCTTCCATCTCCTCCTTCCACCCTTCTAAATTTTGCTATTCAACTTTTACTATATGCACACACATATACTTGTACATATATATATATATATATATATGTATATATATATATATGTATATATATATATATATACATATAATATATATATGTAAGCATTCTGGAGATATCCTCTTTGTAGAAGAAAAGCAAAGAAACAGTCAACAAGCTGGACTTGGTATTTTCTTGGCCAATTTTTTATTTATTATGTTCATCTCAAGATTTTTAAAAAATAAATAAATAATGGAAATGATCTATAACCTATATTCTATAATATTCACAAATGGATTAAGCATCCATTTTCTGTATAATGTATTTAAATTATATTTAAATTATGGACTATGTCGTTAGAATTTAATATTTAAAATTGGAAAATAAGCGGAATTCTCTTACTTTATACATTATTTAATATATATCTTTTTATGGGATATCTTAGAATATTTGAATTGGTCATTTAGTTATTCAAATTCATAAAATAAAGAAATATTTTTAATATTTTTTTTAATATAAAGAATATAACACCCCAAGTCCACAATAACGGATATTGTTTTTGTTTAGATTTTCCTTTTTTAATCTAAATCACAAATTAAAAATGAAAAAGGATACACACATACAAAAGTAAATAAAAATGATCATAATTTATCAGACAAAGAAACCACCACAGATTCAAGGCTTCCTGATGAGGGCCAATGCAGAGAGAATTGAGACAACAGCAGCGCAAATGAATGCAATAAGAAGAACAGCAGCTGCACCACTGCCCTGGTCGAAAAACGAGTCGAAAAGCGTTCCAAACAGCTCCTTCAAATTGGCTCTCGTATCAATCCCAGCTCCTAACGCCGCCGACGAGCTCGATAACAACAGATATGACAACAACTACATACAATAACATCGTGTAAGGTTCATCGAAACAACTTTTCAAGCTCTTAAAAACACTTTTTAACGTGCACTTACGTAATCGCTGAACAAATAAAAGAGCGGAGTTCCTTCGCTTTTGGTAACCATATGGTAAATGCTGAGAATGATTTGAATCAAACTCAAAACACCTCCAATTACAGCCGCTGCTATCAAATAACTGGAACACATAGATCCCCAAGAACATTAAATCAAGAGTTAGTGAGAAAAAAAAAAAAAAAAAATCTTACCGATATGAATACACGTTCTTAAATTCAAGCTTTGCTTCATTCTCAGTCCCTTTGTTGAGAGTTTTAGAATTGGAAGCGTTGATTATGAGAGAAATGAAGATCAAAATCAAGGTCAGAATCCTTAGAATCAGTGTAGCAATTCTTGAACCCTTTGAGGCTGCCATCTTCCAAGCTTTTGCTCTTCAACACTTAACCACAAATCCAATTGCTTCTATATACATACATACATATATATATTATATATATACACCGCGTTCGTGTTTTCTGGGCCAATTGTTTATGTAGCCTTAGAATAAATATCTCAAAATTTTATTAAATTCTTTAGATAACACTCGGACTCGTAACCCACATCATAGTTGACCTCTTACAAGTTGTCTTGCAAGTTGATTATGATTACTTTATCAAGATGAATTGTGCAAAAGTTTCTAATTCTAAAATATTTTAAAATTGTTACTAATTTTTTTTCGATAAAATATCTAGTTTTTTTTTTTTAATGTTTTAAAAAAATAATTTAGACTAAAGATAATAGTTTTCTTAAAATTATTTTTTATATTATGATTGATGTTTCTTCATTATTGTAATATTGGAGGTATTTGAAAAAGAGTTGTTGGACTTAACGGAACAAATGAAAACCGACACCACTTGCCCTGTCGGACCACCCGCCGGAAACGGCGGCAAAGTCTTCTCTCTAACCAAATTTTTATGTCAACTAATAAGCCCTCATGTCGTCGTCTTAACTCTATCTTGATTACCTTTGACTTTTTCTTAAGTTTGACCTAGTCTTATCATTCATTTTAAATATTAATATTACACATATTTAATATTTTGGTTCTTATTAATTTTATGTTCAACAACTTGTAAATAAAAAAGTTTAAGATATAAAATTCAACGTTTTAAAATTTCAGAAAATTCTTAGAATCTTAGTTAATAATTAAAAGATATTAAAATATTTATTTAAATTATATAATTTTTCTATAATTTCAGCCAAGCATGAACCAGGTCTGTTGATTGGGGGTTTTCTTGCACTTCAAGTTCGTATTGACCAAATTCACATTAAAATTAATTTAATTCTTTGATCTCATCCTTTTTTTTTTTTAATTTTATTTTAATAATTCTAGGGTCCATTATTCTAAGTGGAGTTGAAAATAATTAAACCATAATGAGAAATTAATTAGCACTTAATAAAAACCGTAATTAATTTACTTTACTTGACCATTTACATCCTTCATTCTTAAGAAACATGAAATTTTAATTAGAAGAATTAATAAACTTTTATTTAATATTTATTGCCCTCAAACACTCGAAGCCCGTTCTGTGAAGTGGTGGATTTGGAGGCCCATTGGTATTGGGCTTACTTTTCTTATATTTCTTTGACCTAGTCTCCCTAGGCCCCACTAAGTTGAACCTCTACAAAAGATAGATTCTTTCTATATATTTATTAGAACTATCTAAACTTTAAAACATGCTTAAATTTTTAATTTTGTATTTAATAAATCATTTACATAATTAAATTAATTTTTAATTTGAAAACCAACAAAACATAAAATTTAAAATATACAAAGTGATTTTATAGAATAAATATTTTTAAAATTTAAGAATTTATTAAACATTTTTTTAAAATAAAATTGGCATATTTCTAAAAAAAAATGGAAACAAAAAATGGAAATGAAATGGGAAGGGGTGGAGGTTAAATAAATAAAGTTGGAGGACCTTACTTTAATAAGACTCCACTAAGTGTATGGTGGGATGTGACAAAGAAGAAAGCCCCACATAATTTGTGGACAATTTTTATTTTCAAACTTAGTCAAAAGCTAATTCCTCTCTCTTATACAACGCAACAATTAATACAATAATCAATTTCAAGCCACGTCACACGCGCCATTTCATTTTCTTTTTTTATATTATTATATTTGTTGAATATTTTACCCAAAAGGAATACAAATTAATAATTGTGTGGTTGATTCAACAATCTTAGACTCAAGGGACAAATAAGCATAATGATTATTACTAACCCATAATTCTCTTCCTTTATTTCATCCATCAATCAACACGACTCTCCATAATAGTATGATATTGTTTAGTAGCATTATTTTGAGCTCTTTTAGACCCATGATCATTCTCTAAATTAACGAATGTAGGACCCGTTATTTTTTCAAATATATGTTCGTATATGCTCATAAATTATAATCTAAGTTTATAACAATTTAGACCCGTTATTTATTTATTTTAAAAGGAAACTTCTAAAAATGGGAAAGAATCTTAGTTGCATATGATTGAGCACATATGGAAGAACGTGAGGGGTTATAAGGTGAATAAACACATGCATATTGGAATCTCTCTCTAATTTTAAGCTATCTTTTTCTTTAATTTCTTGGCATAGATTAGATGAGATGAGATGAGATGAGAAAAGAAAGAGAAAGTAAAGGAAAAAAGGAAGCAAAGGACATGATAAAGGTAAAGCTGCAATGGAAACAGAGAGAACATCTTCACGCCTATGCATGTGGCCATCAACCCACGACAACAACATCAACACCACCTTAAAACACCCTTCCTATCTTACCTTGGAATTCCGAGCTCCCCTATTCATCCTTATAAAATGACCGACCAATCTTTTCACTTGCCCTTATTCGACCAAATTAGTATGGTAATGACTTGAAAAGACGTAACAGTGCTATGTAGGGGTCGATATGTCGAGATTTTGTTGATAGTAATGGGTCGGGTTTGTTTTGGTTTGGTGATTGCGTTATGTAATTGTTGATCCCAAAAGAAGATGAATTCCATGAGTAGAATATTGGGTTTGTTTTAAACAAATAATCCAAAGTAAGATTCCATTCAAACAAAAAAGAATAAAATCTTAAGAACTAAATGATGGGAAATACTGACATCATAACCCATCATGCAAAATTCCATCCACCCCTTTCCTTTTGCTTTCATTTCACTTTTGTTTAATCACAATCAATAGGGAAAGCAAGAGAAGTAATTAAACCAACCAAAAATGTTATGTGGTAAAGAGGAAGGGTTTCTCCCTTTTTCTTCTACTTTTGACCAATTTGAATAGTGTTTGTGTGCTCTTAGACCCCTCTAGACTCCCTTTTTGAACCAATTTGTGATATAAATGGACCCGAGATCTGCGTCAATAGCAAGTCTTAAACTGGTTAATATTATCTAAACGAGCATACTACTTGACATATACTCATTCTTTTGAGCTTAGAAGTCCATTTCGTCATATCCCATGTAAGTCGTACTCAAATCGTATCATCTGGGTTTGGTTCGGGTACCATATGAAATCACCAAGATATGTTGTGACATATTTAATTTTGGACATTATTGGCTAAAAAAAGGGGTTTGTAGGTTTGGTGTGAGGAATATATTAGGGTTTAGGGGAGAATCTAAAAGGAAGAAGAGGCACAAATTTAAATGCATTCAAACTGCAGTTTCTTTTCAGGAAGCTGAAAAAGAAAATCATAGTGAGCCATTAAAACATTACCCAAAAATACGAGACTAACCTTTAAGATGGGACCTCTGAGATATTTCTAAAACGAAGATTCAAGAATGACGCCCCCAAACATGCATGTATCTAATTAAATGAAAGAGAAACTCGAACATATTTGTCCTAAGTATTAATGTGAGATCTCCACTTCGGTTGGAGAGCAGAATGAAACATTGTTTATAAAGATGTGGAAACCTCTCTCTAGCAGACGGGAAAGCTCAAAGAAGACAAATATGGGGTGAGATTGAGGTATTAAAATTAACCTGTTAAACCATGCTTGAACTTATATTGTAATACGAAAAAAAGGTAGGTCATTATCGATAATCGATGGTACTTTACGTATTCGAGAGGATTTGTTATGTTCTAAAAAGAGCAGTGGATCATCATTCATTTGATTTCACAGAGAGATTATACAATATTAGCTCTCTTCTCAAGTCAGATAATATCAAACTTTTGAATGCACATATTACAAAGTTCCTAAATTAAACCCCAAATTTGAATGAATCAAGAAAAAAAAATAGCCTATCATAATAATTTTTGTTCCTAATGCTGAAATTCATCCACCTTCTTACCCTTCCAAAATCATAAGAGATGGGTAGTGGAAGAAGTTGAATTGAAATGATCTGAAATTTGATCTGTCCAAGCAATGTTCCCAGGTGCTGTGCTTGTAATTGAATTCCAGAACTGATCATTTGGTTGAATTCCCAGAAAATTTCTTGAAAAATTGTTAATCCCTTGAGTATCCTCCATGAGTTTCATGCTGCTATTAGTGGTACCCAACAGATGAGTTGTGGTACTAAACCCATTGTCCAGTAATGGCTTTGAGATATCAGCTGGTTGTTGTTGATGATGATGATGATCATCAGCCATGAAATTTGAATACATCCCATTTTGTTGATGTAGATTTGCAAAAAAGGGTATTTTCCATTGGTTATGATCCGTGATTCCACTTGATAAAATTGTTGATTCTCCTCCTGATGAATTGGGGATTTGAAGGCCTTCGAAGTTCAACCCAATGTTCCCAAAATCACTCAGATTGTGTAAATTTGGAGCCAAAAAGGGGAAATGGGTTGGCGGAGGAGGACCTAATTGATGGCTAATGATATCTGTTGTGCAACTGTTTGATGACACTGTGCTCGTTGAAGTACTCGAACCCGCCGGAGATTTCGACCGGTTACTCCCTCCTTTGCTGCTTCTCTTACTTGACCGCCGACACCCGCCCCCAACCGGTACATTCCTCATCGCCCCACCTCTTGTCCAGTACCGACGACAGGTCTTGCAAAAATGGCGCGGCTGAGTGAGGCTATAGTTGTTGAAGTAACAAAACTTCGTGTTGGTTGACTCACATCTAGGGCATTTTAACCCCGCTTCTGGTTGCGGTATCTTCGCCAACCTAGCTCGATCCGTCATCGACCCAGGTCGGATCGAGCTAGGTACACCACCTCCACCCCCACCTCCGCCACCGCCAGCTGCAGCTGGCGGTGGCGTCGGCGGAAGGTGTTGGCCGTTATTAGTCTCACAGCCACTTCCTTGGAGGTGATTTGGTTGCTATAAGATAAAACCCCAATCAAAATGTTTGGTATATTGAAGAAAGAATTAGGGTTTTTAAAAATCTTTTGTAGCGAAGAAGCTAAATGAAGAACAAAGAAAAAAGCTTACCTGAGAAGGCCAATTGGGTGGATCAAGAAACACAGGAACTGAAGAGAAAACCATGGAGATAAGTATTCAACAAATTTCCTTTTTTTTCCCTTAAAAGGAAAAATCAAAACTTGGTGATCACAAACGAAAATAAAGAACACAGTGTGATGAGAGTTGAGTGGGAGAGAAGAAAGCTAAAGTAGAGTCTATATATATATATATATATATATATATATATATATATATATATATATATATATATATATATA